GACTCGATGGCACATAACAACAACAACAACAACAACAACTGTATAGTTATTATTGTATAATTGTTATTGTTAATGTGCCATCAAGTTGACTGGGACAGCCACTCTACAAAAAATGGTTTTGATCTTTGTTCTATCCAACCACACTATCTTTGACACAGTTGCCCCCATTGCTACAGTCACTCTTGTCAGTCCATCTCCCCCAGGGTCTTCATCTCCTGTGCTGGCCACCCACCTTTCCAAGCACTAAGTCCTTCTCCAAGGACTAGTCCCTTCTGGGGATATGTCCAAATTATGTGATAGAGAGTTTCAAAATTCTTGCCTCCAAGGAGTAACCTGGTTTCACACTCTCCACAAGTTCTCTTGGTGGTTCACAGTTTGTCCAATACTGTTCTCCAACAACACTCCTCTAAGGCATTGATTCTTCTCCAATCATCCTTACTCTCTCATCTAGCTCTCAGATGCATAACTAGCAAATAAAATTTCCATGGCCTGGGTCAGACAGACCATAGTCTCTAGACTGACCTTGTTGCTCTTAAGCACGCTGGAGAAGACCTTGACAACACACTTCCGCAATGCAATTCATCTTTTATTTCTTGACTACTGGTGCCAAGAGTGTTGATGGTGGATTTGAACAAGCTGAAATTGTTAACAACCTCAGTCTGGGTTCTACCTGCAAGTCAAGGTGTTCTTTGGAGGCATAGATGACAAAACTTCAGTCATCTCACATACTTTGGGCATGTAGCTAGGAGAGGGTATTCCTTGGAGGGGACATCATGCTAGGAAAGGTGGAGGGATGGAAAGAGAGGAAGATTGTCAACCAGATGGATCGACACAGTGACTGCTATAATAAGCTTTATGTGTCAGGAAATGTTAAGAATGGCACAGGATAGGACAGGGTTCAGATCGGTCATTCTTGAGCTGTAGCGACTGCACCCAACAACAACAACAACAACATAGTCAACAACATATTGCTATTTTAAAAAATCTCAAGCCCATACTATATTAATAATCGGTTGTTCTCGACAGAGAAGCGCTGCTGCACAAAGTTCACCAAATTAAAAATTCTTAGATCTCTTAATTACCAATGAAGATAAGTAAAAAGAAAGCAGTGGCCAGTAGCCACCAGGACCGCACCCAAGAAAGCGGAAACTGGCAGGAAGCGGCTGCTGCCTTCAGGGCGCGGCCAATGAGAGGCAACGGGCTCGCCCGGCAGGAACGCCCAGCTTTGCGAGTGAGTATGTGAGGGAGTTAAATCCGCTGGTTAGGGAGAAGACTTCGTGGTCCGCCTCCGCCTTTCACAGTTGGCTGCTGAGCACGGGGAAGGCCTGGAAGTTGTCACTTCCGCTGTCGCCCAGCTCTGCGTCCGGGTCAGGGCTGCCGCCTTCTCCGCCGCCGCCGCTACAGTAGCGGCCGGGAGCCGGTGCCCGTGTCCCCGCTACACACTGAAGGGAGCGGGCTCCGCTCGGCGCCGCCTTTTGTGACCTGGTCGTCCGACCCCCGTCGCCAGTCTGGAGAGGCGAAGAGGACGAGGGGGCCGCGGCTTCCTCCGGGTGAGTGCGACCTGGGAGGGCTGGGTGCCGTGGGCCGGGGCTGGGGACCAGTCTGCGGCAGGAGGTCTAAGGGACTCCTGTCCAGGGACAGCCGGGGAAAGGAGCCAAGGCTGGGGTGCTGCCGTCGGGGACGCCCGAAAGCCTGCCCTGGCGGCGCTTCCTCTGTTCCCGCCCAGCTTCGATCCTCCCCCTTGGCGCAGCTCAGAGTTGCATTTGCCAGGTTTTGCCCGCCACCCTTTCCCCGTTATTGGCGATCGTGGCACCCGGGATGGAACCCTTTTTCCCTGTCGGAGCACCCCTCCCACAACTTGACCTGAGAGCGGTGACTTGGGCCTGGATGGTCAGTGTTTGTGACCAGCCTTGGTCCGGGTGTAGAACAAAGAGACTTGGACGTCTGATGTGTCTCGTACCCTCGGGGAATAGACGCGGAAGCCGCATTTGTAATCAGAGTTTTATAAAATCCTGTGCAAGCCAAACCTAATACAGGGTGTGGACAGGTTACACACGGTGAGTCTCTGAGTGGAGTCGCACGCTGTACGTTTGTCTCTGTAGATACCTAGCCAAAGATTGGGTTTCCTGAGTGGCCCTGTTGCCACTGGAGATAGGCGAGATCGACTGGTGTTAAAAGTCTGAAATTATATGGGCCTTTTTTCCACGCTTCTTTGAAGCTGTTGTTGCATTGTCTGCCTGTTCTGGGAACTCGCAGACATAGACTTTCCCCTGCTCTTCTAGGTAATCTTAATGCCTCCCCTGTAGTTGGTTAAATAACCATGGCCAGATATGTGATAGCAGTTTATGGTTTTGTTGTTTTGGGTTTTTTAAATCCCCATCTTTCTTTGATTCGAGTGCTGAACCCTGATAGCTCATTTAAGTATATATCTTCAGTATATGTAATATTTTGAAATACATTATGATAAGTTTTCTCAGATTTATGTCTCAAGTTATCCAGTTAAGGTGCCTTGTAGAACAAGTTCTTGATCTTGCCCTTTTCCCTCTATTCAGTACTTCTCATTTTACATTTTTCTCTAAGCTCTACATCTAGTTGTCATTTGTCCCCTCCTTCTCAGATGAAATACATTTTGAGTTTGAACAGAAGTATGGCATATCCACTTCTGCATTTTTGCCATTTCCTTCAAAGCAGCCTGAACTTCTTTCATCACCATAGGTTCTTGCTCATATGTTGTTTCAGGATAATCTGTGTCTGCCAATTCCTTCTGATACAGTGATTCAGTATATTCCTTCCATCTTCTTTTAATACTTCCTGGATTATTTAATATTCTGCCTAAAGCATCCTTGATTATAGCAACTCGAGGTTTGAATTTGTTCTTCAGTTCCTTGAGCTTAAGATATGTTGAGCGAGTTTGGTCCTTTTGATTTTCTGACTCCAACTCCTTGCACATTTCATTGTAATATTTTGCTTTGTCATCCCGTGCTGCCTTTTGAAATCTTCTATTCAACTCTTTAGTATCTTGAATTCTTCCCTGTGCTTGGGCTTCTCTGCGCTCCAGTGCAATTTTCAGAGTCTTCTGACATCCATTTTGGTCTTCTTTTCCTCTTTTGTCTTTGCAATGACTGTTTGCACTCTTCCTGGATGACACCCTTGATATTCTCCCACAACTCCTCTGGTCTTCGCTCATTAGTGTTCAAGGCCTCAAACCTGTTTCTGAAATGGTTCTGAAATTCAGGTGAGATAGACTCAAAGTTATATTTTGGTTTCCATGGATTTGGTTTAATTTTCCTCAACTTCAGCTTGAATTTGCATATGAGTAGTTGGTGGTCTTCTCCAGTGGTTCTTTCTGCAAATGTAATCGATCTGATTACTATGCATACCATCAGGTGAAATCCAAGTATATAACCTGCGTTTATGTCTTTTAAAAAACGTATTTGCTATGAATAAGTTATAGCACAGGACAGAGCAGAGTTTAGGGCTGTTACACATAGGGTCGCTATGAGTCGCAAGCGACTTGATGGCACATAACAACAACAAGCCTAACTCTGGAATACTAAGCATTGCTGGAGTCATAGATGTTTAATTATACTGTTTTTGATATCTTTTCTACTGATTCTGCATCTTAATAGAAGTGATTTCTTGATAAAAGTACACATTTCATTTTGCTTTTCACTCTATAGAAAGAAAGATTGTTTCAGAAAATAGTCTATGAAGTCATCATTGAAGATGTATGTTAAAATTCCCTTAAAATACAGGCTTTATATTAGAAACACAGGAACTGCTATGTCAGTCAAGCTTATGTTCTGTTCTAAGCAGGTTGAGGGTTTCCTCATTAGTTTCTGAACCTTACACTATTTTATGTATTCCCAAATAAAAAAAGTCAGTCATTGTTGTAGAGTCAAACTGGTAAAAGGAGATTGAGGAGTTTGAACCACCAGAGAGGCACCACCTTTAGGTTTGCAAGACAGTACCCTATGAACTATGTCAACAGAGCTCCAAATAATTAGAAATGCCTTATTTTCCTATATTAATATGCTGCCTCTTCCAAGCAAAAGTAAATTTTTCTGTGCTTTCAAGTGGGTTTATTTTTAAAAAGTCATTAATATTTTCTTTTTTCCCCCCAGTGTTGCACATTTTCTTCCCCCTCTGAACGTTTTGAGAATATTTTCAACTCCTTTAAGCATGAGTAAGAATTCATACCATAAGGATGGAACCTGACATCTTGGTGAAGAATTAAATTTCATTTGCCATGTGAAATCTAACACTTTAGACAATTTTCATGGTAATTTTATTGTTGTGGTTGTTAGGTGCTGTCATAGCATTACTATTCTGGAAAATAATGCTTTTTCTGTATACTCTTGTAGGTATCTTTTGAGTGTTGTCATGACATTCAAACCATGACATGATAAGACAACCGGAACTATTTAGTTGATTTGAGAGTGCATCACTGGCATTATTTTTTAAATTTTTGTTAATATTTTTTTAGTCACCTTTTCCTGTGTGGTTTTCAAATAAAAAAAGTGGAGGAAATTACAAAGAAAGGCATCCATTACTTGCATATTATTCTCTTTTCCATAATTGACAAGCACTTTTTAAATTTTGTTTTAGTACTTTTTGTACTGTCTCTTAAAAAACGTATTTGCAATGAATAAGTCATTGATTGTGCAAAATTCAATCACGGTTTAGGGCTGTTGTACATAGGGTTGCTATGAGTCACAAACGACTCGACGGCACATAACAACAACTTTTTTTTTCCTTCTTTTTTAATTATTATTATTCAATTTTATTCGTTTTAATGAACATTTACAGGGATTTTGGGTTTTCATTCCTTCATTG